ATGTTTAAACAAAAGTTATTGCTTTTTTGTTTTTTTTTGCGCGCGCCCACTCAAAAGTCGAAACTCGAAACTAGTTTTACAAAGTTCAGAGCCAGACAACTTTGGAGAACTTTAAATACAGACACAGCCAAAGAAACATATACGAAATACGTGAGATACAAGATACAATACAGCGGCACATGTCCGCTGTCCAGTTGAATGGACCTGTAAAGTCTGGTTGCCTTTTTCTATTTCATACTCTTTTTTTTCTTCTGCACTTGACTCTGAACAATGCTGACGTGTTTTGCTATGCTATACACAATATGTGTGACTATCTATCAGTTTTCGTGAGCACAATATATTCTATGGTCTTATTTGAATGCACAAGGCCCAGAGACAAAACATTTTTTGAACTATAGAATCGTTAATGGAGGCCTTTCAGGTATTCAAATATTATTCACTTTAAACGCATTTAGCTTTTAATTCAATTAATTGAAGTTCATTATGAATGCATTCATATTTCAGTTAATTTTTTCGGTCAAGTGAATTTATCGAAACGTGTTTTTAATTTAAAAAAGTAATATTTACTAATTGAATTTAATAATTAAACAAAAGAGCTCAGTTTTAATATTAATATTTTCTAACCATTTATGAAATATTTGTCACAAAAAAAAGTACATTATTAAGAAATACATAAAGAGAAGGAAAACAAAACGTGGCTGATAAAATTCGATTAAGAGACTTATAAAGTCGAAGAAGGTTTTTAGATAAAGTTGCTCTTTTTATATATTTCTATGTTTACTTCTCAGAATCAACATTCCCTACTAAAAAACTTCAACTTTTGGGAAATTTTATGCATTTTTACAACAACCTTTCTACCTGTGAGGCTTTTGCTATTATACGGCTAGATTTTTGGATTTTTTCGTTTATTTTGATTAATTATAAAACCGAAATAATATTTGAGTATTATTAATCATTGCTTTGTTTCCGCTGAACGTTACTCAGTTTCCATTTGTTATGGCCTACTTGAAGCATATCAAATTAAGTTGTAAATTCCTCAAAGGCCACGTTTATTAGTCAGAGGCGCGATACTTCTCAATTGAATGTGAATTGTTATGGGCATACATGACCTGTATAAACTGTGTAATATTCGATTGAAACTATACGAGCCACGCCCACCTGCAGCTATCATCAATGTGAAACATATCGAACAACAGTCTTATTATTATTTAATATTTATTAGCACTGAAGTGCCAAATAAAAAAAGTAAAATAAGAAAGAAAAGTTATATTTGGCACGCCGAAGATGAAATACCCTGGAAGACATGTGGCTTGGAAATTATTTAATGTAAAAGGCTATTTCTGAGCGATTGCTACTTATAGGGGCCATATAATATAGTAATCCGACTCGATCAGATATTGATCATAAGCGGTCCGATTCGGCCAACTTAGACTTATAATTTGAATCCAAAAAAGGTTTACCTATGTATGCTAAGCTTTATGCCGATCGACTATAGAATATATATACTTCAGTGTGTCTCCTTCCATGTGTTACACACTTCATGACAAAGTTCTCTTTACTCTTTACGAGGGTATGAAAAAGATCGAAAAGAAAATCAACACTTGGGCGTTCTAAATATAGCTGTGCACGCATTGCGCTGCTATGCAGCAGCAGCAGTAGCAACAACAATTTGTTGTGTGTGTGTGTGTTGCACATCAGAAAACAACAACAACAACAACAGCAGCATCAGCAGCAGCATTAGCATCAGCAGCCAATGACAACAATAAAAAAGTGTGTCACGCTGAATCACAGAGGCGTATAGTTCATATATAGAGATACTACGTGAGACCAACGAGTCCATTGTGAACTACAAATTATGCGCGACTTCATTGCGCATACGCCCCGTTCCAATTACAAACGTACCAGAGCTCCCTTTCATGATGATTTATTTGTTAAATATTGATGATGATATGTGATATATGACATATTTATGAAAAGCCTCGAGCGACCTTTAATATCTAATTGATCCATTAACCTACTATTCGATCTATTGAGTGCACTTGGTTGGAAGTCTACAACTTTAACCACTGTTCAAGTTTTTGTGCACATGCAATTTATTGGATTGAAAGTTCCTTAATTTTACGTAAGAAAGATGTCATTGCCTTGTAGTGCATTTCATTTTCTTGTCAATGAAAATTAATTTACAGTTTCTAGTTTTCAATTCAATAACAATGTTGATCTCTACGATATGGGCATATATACTGTGCACCCTCATGACAATTTGTAGTTGCCTCTTAGTTAAATATTGAACGAACATATTTTTAAATATTACAATTTAAGACTCTTTAGATTTGGGGATAAAATAGTTGAGACCATTAGCTAAGTTACAGAGCTATTGCTCCCAAAATCTCTGAGATCGATTAGGCAATCATTGGTAAGTATAGCATAACGGATGACTTAATAATTAAATAGGTTTATTAATAAACCTACTTTTATGAAAGCGATATTTCTTTAATATTTTGCAACAATAAAAGCATTTTAGTAATTACTATATCCAATTTAATCATTCAATTGCAATTTTGTTAATCTACATCAATTAGCTTTACTTTTACTTTTTGTCTTGCCGCAATTCTCCTCGCCTAATTCATTCATGATTAGCTTTAATGCGAAATCAGTCTATTTAAAGCATTTCCAACTGAATGGACTGATATCAAAGTGCAGACAATTCGCACTTAAAACAAGTAATCACATTTTAAGGAGAAGAAAATGCAAAAAGTCATTTCCATAAATGCGCTGACAGGCGACATTTTTATAGGAAGTGTGACAGCATAATAAACGCCGCCAGATGGCGCTGCAATCGCCAGGCACTCGTGTTGATCTTCATGGGAAACAATTTAAGCAAGTCGGGCAAGTGTGGACCAGTACAACCTGGGGGCATTACGTAATGCCCATGGCTTTGTATAGAGTCGTGTTCAACGCATATACACGTAATCGTATATTCTAAGCGTGCCTGACAATCCGGCCAAACGGGTTATCATTAGTACCTGTTGCCCCTACAGTACACTTGCCAACATCATAATGATCATCCACATGATCATTAAGAACATTGTCGTCATGGCCCAAAAAGCGAGCGAGCACACACACACACACATACATTTTCCACTATTAACCCATTTGACGATCCGTTGTAAAAATAAATAAAAAATGCGTGTGGAAATTGTGTTTTTTACACATTGGCAACTCTCTCGCAGAGGTTACGAACTAGGCCCAGAAGATCGAGGGGGAGAGCAGGAGAAAGAGAAATAGAGAGAGAGAGCTTTCGTTCTCTATTATCTGACATCTGTTGCTGCTGCTGCTGTGTAGGAAAAACTATTTTCAGTCAGCTATTTTTCATATTTTTATACAGCACGTCACGCATTTCTTCTTTCCGGGCCAACGTGTTTTTCGGATCACAAATGAGGTCATCGTCCAAGCGCGTCAAAAACGAAATTCCGCATTTCGAAATGACTGAATGCAATGGAATGGACAACAAGTACACAAGCAGCACATATTAAAAGCAACAACAAAATAAACACTAGAAATAAAATATATACAAAAAAAAAAAAAAGAAAGACGAAACGTGTTTCTATTGCAAACAGGTTCTAATCGGCCATAAACAGAAAGAAATCAAATAAAGCTAAACTTGAATTTTCGACATGTGCAGACATGCGTGAGTCATTTAAATTCATATAATATCCCATCATCCTCATCATCATCCGACTTAATCATCAGCCGAGATGAGCAACAGTTTCGGATATGCAACTGCAGCAAATTCTTAACGTGTGGCACATCATTTTGGATACAATAATTTCGAAATTATTTGCAGACTGCCACGAAAAAAAAACGGAATAAACTGAAATAAAATGTTGAAAAGCTTGAGCGGTGGACAATTTGACACAACTAATGAAGTTAAAAAGTTTTCATTGTGACAGCGACACCTGTCGTATAACAGTTTTAATCGCAAGCAAGCCAGCTGTATGACAGATTTAACCCTCAACCAAAAACAAAGCCAATTAGATATGTCAAAAAATATAAGCTGCTTGTAAGTCAAATCTATATTTTAGCTATAATATTATCTGTTGCAAATATCCTTGTTTTATTAGGAAATTAGAAATACGAAATACTGCTTATTATACCATTATTAAAGTACGCCACCTGGCGTCAAAAACTGTAAGCCTAGTTTCGCTGCAATTATTACTGGTTAGATGTATAACTAGTTATCGATAAGAGTAGCGATGCACAAACATCGATTAATCGAAAAGCCAATAGCTGAAAGACCTAAAGAATCTTGCGACTAAAGATCGTTTTTTAATATTAAAAAACAAGAAGCTCTCTTTCCGATAAATCGATATTCGAAACACAATCGATTGCATGATTTTAAAAAACAACTCAAATCGCTTAACGTTGACGCATTTTATATTTAACTATATATAAAAATTATAATAATTAATACATACAGAAAAGTTGACTCCTACTAAACAGAATTTTGGGATTTAAAACTTGAACAAATATGTTTCAAGGACGTATGACGAATGCGTGAAATTACATTTGGCGAGTACGTTCTTGAGATCAAAATTATTTTTATATTTTGCTGTTGCTGTTTTTGTCTTGAATTAAAATCCAAAAGCAGACAAATATTTATTCTGAATACAATTCGCATCATTTTTTATAAACAGGTTCTAATTTTTATGTAAAGTTTCGAGAAAAAAATCTACGCGACGTCGAGACAGCCGAAATATTAAAAAAAAAAAACACACACACTACAGAAAAATATATTTGGAAAAAGAGAACAACAAAAACTAAATGAATTTTGATTCAAATTTAAAATAGGATGAAACAGAAAGAAAAAAAACTTGCTTGGCATGCGTCTGCTTTTAAATTGATTTATGTAAATTGCCAAATACTTTATCTATACTAAATATAGAATCGGAATGTGTTTAGTCTATGTAGATCTGGACCATAATATGATAATGTGTACTTACTCCGGTTCCGGTTGTCCATCGGCCTCGCACTCGATAATGAATGGCTTGTCGCTCTCTTTGTTCTGTTGCGCCACCTTGAAAAGCAGCTCATCTGTGGGGGGCTGTTTGATGATCCGCGGCGGGGAATTGTCTAAAGCGAATGACGGAAGAAAAGAGTCAGTTTACGCCTTGAAGATTCGGATTGGGATTGGGGTTGGGACTGGTTCTGGGGCAGACTCTACTAATTTGGCACATAAATTAGGACGTGAATCTCTCTGGCATGCTCTACATCTAGTCGTTTTAGTCCACTTTATAAGTTGTTTTTCTATGTTTATTTTTATCAACTGCCGTCGCAGTGGCTATTTTTATGGTTCAGTTCAGCCTATTGGAAACTGGCACCTTCGAGAGTGGCTCAGGTAGGCTTTAACAAAATGCTTACTCAATTTGAATCTCCCAAAAGACTATATAAATAGGTTCTCTAAATGCACAACTCTTACCAAGAATAGTCCTCTATTTGTTAATGGATGAGACACTCGGAAGAAACAAAAGAGATTTCGAGCGGGGGACAGCACTTCTCATTTTTATATGGATAAAGTTACACAATAAAGAAATTAGAGAAGTGGGAGCCCATTTATAATTGAAGCAAAGTTTACGGATATGACAGAAAGGAAAATTCAAAAAGCTAGCAATAAGGTGAGGCAATATTTACGGTATATAGAATACAAATAATAATAGTGTTAAAAGTCTAGAGACAAAATGATTACGAATGCCAAGCAAAGTTGAAATGCAAAAGCTTTCACTAGACTTAGTACAATGGTAACATGATTATGTTAAAGGGAGAGCTGAGCAAGCTTGAGAGAATATAAAATTAGTTATTTAATTAAAAATATAATATAGTTTAGCTAATATAAGATATAAGAGGGCTGTTTAAAGATATGAAAAACATAAAGAAAAGGGCATTAAAAGTCATTCGTGATGCGTTTTATTAAATGAATTAATTACTTTTAAGATGATACAATCTTCAAAGTTAGAGCTTTCAGTCAAAAAATAAAAACAGAATTTATTAAAGCTATTAAAAGATAAATTTAAGAAAATGAGAAGTTCAGTCGTTTTTATTGTTTAATTGCTTTGGCTAGTATAAGCTCAAGAGATCACCCTTTACGTAAATGTTGAGAGATCGAAATGGTGTCAACTGGCGGATAAATGGGTGCATTGTCTTCTAGATTTTCAATTGCTCTTATTAGAGATTACACAGAGATTATCTAGTTAATCTTTGCACCGAATAGACATAGATATGGACTTAGATTTGGAATTGGACTTTCGACTTACTCATTGCCGTTGTGCTGCCTAAAATGGCAGCCAGTAATATCGCGGCCAGCATCGTTGACTGCCGCCGCATTTTAGTTGTTGTTCAACTGCGCTGCAATTGTTGTTGTTGTTCTCGATTCACACACACACACACACAGTCTCTGTGCCCCTTTCGTATGGCACACTCTCTTCTGGACCCTGGGATCTACAACTATCAGCGCAATTGTATTGTCAATTTCGTCGTGTTGCAATTGTACTGTCTGGAATGTTTTTCTTTTCTTTTCTTTTCGTTTTGTTTTTGCTTTTTTTTCTTTCCTTTCTTAGGTTCTCACAATTTTCTCACTAATGAAAATTGCATCCAAGTGAGCGTTTTTCCTTTCGCATGCACTGCAGTTGGCAATAGGGAAAAGAAGAAGAACACTTTGAGCTGCTTTTCACACTTAAATGGCAAACGACGCGAAACCTGTTTGTCTAATAACTATATACTATGTTATGCATAGTATCTAATAAATTCATGTAATATGCGCTTCGCTGCCAGCAGTAAAAGTTTATCACTGTCTGTTTTTTTTTATTATTATTATTATTGCTGTTGTGTGTCTGCAAATAGAAGAAGAGTAGAACATTTATTAGATACATATAATTATTATTAACATTATTATGTGTGTGGTACATGATTTAAACAACGAAAGTGACTTTAATATTAAACACATGCCAACAATTCATATCATTGGCAATATAACAAAATGCGCTTGTTTTCTTCTTTTTAATAATTTTCCGATTTTTCGAAAATTTATTTAAAGCATTCACAAGAGCCAGCTGCTATTCATGTATGTATTGAAAATGTTTAGTAAATAGTATCGTAAGCATGGTATGATATGTGCCCCCAATATGCGCACATAAATCATATTATGAAACAAGTAAGCAAATCAGTTTGAATTACTTTAGCAGCATGCTGTGCTAGTTCTTAAATTTAATTTTCAGTTTATCGTTTAATTTATTTGTTTTCGTTTTTACATGGCAATGAAACTGCACAAAGTGTTTCTTTTAAGTCCCAAAATGTTTATGGAGAGTGCTTTCAAACTAAGTCAAATAGTTTCGAATCACTTTAGCCTGATTTTTAAATGTTATGAAATATCAAAGAAGAAATTCAATATGCATATCGAATCAAGAGAGTTTTATTAGTGATAAGCTGTTAGTTAACAATAATTATTAACACAGTTTAGTCAAACTCAAAAAGTTTAAATCAGCTCCAACATAAGAAACTGTTTTGATTTTTTCTTTTAATATCTCTTATATAGTATATTTGAAACTTAATTGTTGCCTGCTTGGAGAGTCCTCCAATACAAATTGTTATAATTGGAAATGTAAGCAGAATCCTAACAAACCTAAAGCTCTGTTTTAATCTAAGTTCAGCTACATCTATATTTCATTTAAATAAAATAAAAGCTTGGCTTTAAAATGTGCTTTTATTAAATGGTTTAGAGCTTTAGCGCTTTTGGCTTACATTTAAGCTAAATCTGATTCCCTTGAATTTGCGCTAATCTGGGTGTATCTGGGTGGTTCGTGTAATCGCTTGATTAGACCTGCGTTCACACACACACACACCCATACAGAATTAACTAGAGTCGAAATTTTGGAATCACGCACTGGACTTGGCTAAGGCAAACGGGCAGCAGACACAAACCAATAAACGACGACGACGGCCGTCAGAGGCCCGACTTGAAAATCGATTGTTGCAATTATTACTTTTCTGGGGGCAACGAGAAACCGAGCAATTGACAGCTACGTTGTCATCGGAAGTGGTCAACAACTGCGGAGGCCCAGCGCCAGACAGAAGAAAAACATACAAAACACACAGTAGGGCGGGAGTGCACGACTAAGAGATACCGAGAGCCGAGATGTCTTCACAAACATTCCAACTACTTTTTATACGAGGTAGCGTCTCCAAGGGTAATATTATGTTCCTGTGCGTACCATACGAGGGCCTGTATGCCAAACTTGATGGCTCTCGCTCTTATTGTCTCTGAAAAAAAGCTTGTTTCATAATCGATATTTATCGATATTTTGGAAATCGGTGGTTATACGTTTTACATATAAAACATGGGACTATGACATTACATATCTCGATCTTATAGTTTCCAAAATATATATATGGAATGGATATGGAATATATATATATGGAATATATATATATGTATATATATATTTTATATATCATCTTCGAATGTCTGCTTCTGCCAGTTGCATGCTACTGCACAAAACTAATATACCCTTTCGTACCCATTCACAAAAGTGTCAATGAATCAATTGCAAAGTGCGCACGAAGACACTAAAAATAGTTGGGGCTTGTGGCATGGAGGTCGGTTCAGTGCGTCGTCATAGACCTAATTCCCAAATGCCATTCAGTGGAAAATGTGCCAAGCGAGAATGCAGCAACACGAACTGTGACTGGTGACTGGTGACAGTGACTGAGGCAGCGACTCAAGAGACTCAGAGACAGAGACGGGGCCAATACGAGACGAGGGCCAGTTAGCATTGGAATGCCACAAAACAAGGGTTAGAAGCGAACGCTAATTGAATTAGCATTAGACGGACGGATCTCCTCCAGTACCGGGCTGTCTGTGCACGCTCCCAACGTGCTGGACATCAAACTGGCAAAAATGCTGCACTGCAACGGACGTTGATTGTGAATGGTGCAGTAGCAAACATCACTAGCACCGCCAATGAACCATCTGCAGTATCAGCGGGAGCCGCAGCAACAGCCATCGGATCGGAACGGTCACAACCATCACGGCATTATGGATATACGAAATCTATGCCAACGTCTGGACGTGGACAGTCTGAAAGGTGAGCGTTGCAAGTGTTAAAGAGTCATAGAAGTTTCATTCTAATTAGTACTTCACTTGTGCTAAAAAGAACTAGTTCCCATAATGAAGATCAGTCACAGTTTAACGCTTTAGATTTGTCTCTGCAAAACAAAGTTACTAGCTTCAAAATATTGCAGCTATTTATTGGCAAAATAAAAGGAACTAGTACTAGTCATGTTCCAAGCTTTATAAATGGAAATTGCTTAAAGGCGAAATCGTTAATTGATTACAAAGAACTAGTTCGCATGGTATCTTAATTTGTGGACATATTATACAATTTGGACGTGGGATAAGATTTGTGAATGGCTTATTAGGCTTTGAAAAGAACTAGTTCACAAGTTTAGTAATTTATGTAAGCATATAAGCTTGTGGCAATCAAAAAAACGTTGTGCTTTACGTACGCATTTTAAATCTGGCATAATCAAAATCGTCTATTGAAAAGAATCTGATAAAAGAACTAGTTCACCAGTTCAGTATAACAGACCAACGATTTTTATGTTCAGCCTCAAGTTCATGGTTCCAAAATTCTGCTATTTTACGTCTTGCTTTGCCGATCAAATCAGTGGAATAAATCACTGGGAAGACAATAAAATCTTGTAAGGTCCTTGGCTGACAAATTGTTTAAGTGAGCCGCACATTTGGGTAATTGAAGAACGAAATTCCAGGCTCGAATCGCAAGTTAGTTTACAGAAGGCCATAGGTATAGATCGTTTTAAGGCGTATTCTATACTTTATAGTAATCGTAATAATAATAATTGCACAGCCAAACTGTCATCGATGCCACAGTTGAGGTTGCCAAAATCGTTGCCCAAACTGCGCGCTGCACGTCGCTTCTTTCACAGCAGCCGCGAGAATGCTAGCGGCAAGGCTGCGCCAGGAACAGGAACAGGAACAAGTACGGATTCTCTGGCGGCTGCAATGCCTCAGGCGCAGTTTATCAATCGGACGCCACAGCGCATATCCACAATTAGTTCGCTGATGCACGAGCAGGGAGCGGACGATCGCCAGGTGACGGCGGCAACATCACAGCATCTGCAGCCGAACGCCGGCACCTACCGCAGCGCAGGCAGCTTGGATGATGAATACTATGCGCCATATGGCACAGCAGGACGCGGCTCGCGCCCAATCAGTCCCATTAAAATGCCGGCAGACACAACGACAACGACAACGACAACGACGCCAACCACGACTACGTCGAGCCTGACGCAGCGGCTGCAGCGCGGCTACAAGAGTCTCAGCGAGCTGCGGCTGAAGCATCTGTTTGCCAAGCAGACGACCATACGGCGGGATGGTATCGAGGTCGATCGCTACGTGGAGCAGTATGAGGCGGAGCGACGCTTTGAACAGCTGGAACAGGCGCGTCGAGATCGGGAGATAGCCGACAATTATGACATTCACATCAGCACGTTACCCATGAGCAGACAGAATACGCTGAAGCAGGACAAGCAGCAGCAGCAGCAGCAACAGGAACAGGATCAGCATAGACGCAGCGTGGCGGAGCACAGCGGCGATGAAAGCGGCATGGAGGAGACAATGCCACAGTTACAGCAGCAACAACAGCAGCCGCCGCCTCGTAAAAAGTCTGGCATAGCCGCAACCAGATTTTCCAAGGTGCGACAGCCACCGCTGCCAATGCCCGTGCAGGAGCAACAGGATCAACAGGAGCAACAGGAGCAGGCGGATCAGCAACGACAGAAGGAGCAACAGCCCATGCGACAGGCGGTGCGTCAGAATTTAAAACGTCTGCGCAAGTCCATCAAGCGTGTGCATCATCAGCCAGCAAGGCCAGCCGCAGATGACAGCGATGAGGATGAGGAGCAGCCCAAAACACGTACAAGCACGGGCGGCACACTGCGGGCGCGTCTGCGTCACTTCGCATCCAGCGAGCAGCTGCAGCAGCGCTGGCGCAAGAGCTTCAAGAGCAAGAGCGAGACCCAGGAAAAGCCGACGCAACAACTGCCAGGTGAAGCAACTGCTGGAACAGCTGGTGTATCAACTGGCGCCGCATTGGGCTTGGCTGTGAGCGCACACTTGGAGCGCACGAGGACCAAGCTGAATGAGAAGATGCAGCAGCTCAAGTTTTTTCAGCGCTCCGGCGATAAAAAGGCAGCCCAGCAAATGGGCAACAAGCCCAGCACCGTTGGCCGCGAGCCCATCGAGATTGACGATGAAGAGCTGGAGGCGACCTATCATCACAGCGACAGCGAAGCCGATGACAGCGATCAGGAAGTGGTCGCCGATGAGGCATCCAGTCAGCCGGATGCTGCCGCGGAGGAGCGTGAGCGTTTGCAGCAGAAGAACCAGGATCCGGCATCACCCGGATTGGTTCAACGCCAGACACTGACAACGCTGGCGCAACTGCAGGCGCACTCGACAACAGCCTGGAGCAGCGATTCTCTGGAGGAGGATGCATCTGCAGAACAGCAACTGGCAACCGCGGCCTCCGATTATCCACGCGTGCTCATCCATCAACAACAGACGGACGCCTACGAGTCCACATTGATTATAGCGGTGACCACAACGCCACCGCCATCATCGCCGGCGGCTTCAACAGCCGCTGACAAGCAGCGCAGCACGGCGCATCAATGGGTGTCCAATGAGCAGATCATAGCTGATTTCAAGGCGCAGCAGGTGGCCACCAACGTTTGGCCAGCACCTGCCCTGTACAAGCCCAAGAGCATTGACATCTTTGATGGCGATGTCGGCGCCGCTGCCGCCTTTGCGGACTTC